TAATCCCATGCGCGGAAGAGCTAACTGGGGTTAATGAAAAGAAATTAAGGCATATTCCACAAAGTTGTGAGTATCTGTTCGCAACCTTACATCATCTTCAACATGGGGAATCCAACAAAGCTGGAGTTTCTGCTGACCAATGGATTAACTTCTGGTTTAAAGGCAAAACCAGGTACTCAAAGCCAAAGCAGAGAAGGATAAAGAGGGCATCTCGTGCTCAAGCAACCCAAAATCCGGATGGTGAAATTGGACAACCGCGCAAATTTTCAAGTAAAGACAATGGCGTATTTAATACCATCGGAGTTAAACTTCACTTGCGGAAAGAGAACTATCTTGCAGCATTTATATCTTGCTGGCTTTGTGTCTTTGTTTTACCAGATGAGGACCTCCATTATATTAGACCATCTACTTTCAAAATGGCTAGTATGATAGCTGCAGGTCGTAAGACTTGTCTCGCTGTTCCTGTCCTGCTAAACATATACCGAGGGCTCAATAAAATTTCCAACTCAACTACCCCGGGGTGTGCGCGTGCGGCTTTTCCGGTGCACTATGTATATGCTTGGTTAGCGAGTTATTTCTCTACCCATTATTTGACTCCAAATACCATGTCTGGGCCTACAATGACCAACTATTCTGGAGAGGGTGACGCACGATACTTTGATGAAAACAGTGCTCGCGACCTCATTCATCAGGGAGACAAAGCAACTTGGGAAATCACTTCTCTTGTGAAGAATCGCAATGAACTTTTTATTGACGATGACAAACTAGCAAATCTCGAACTAAGTTATTTTGTAAGCGCCTGCTCAATTACTTAGTTTTGCATGCTGAAGGGGATTTTCTTGTTGAGCCATATAGTCCATATAGATTCGCGCGGCAATTCGGGTTTTATCAAGTTCCTCCACAGGAACTCGGAGCAGATGTGCGTTCCACAAATTATGACTTGAGTCGAATACTCTGGCGCACTGCCATTCGCAGTAAAACAGAGTCAAAAATACTTTTTCCTAACTATCTCCTGAATGCTAGCAAGCACACATCTTCAGGCTTTCAAACATGGTAGTCTACGGTGCATGATGATTACCTCCTCAAAGGGCGTGATACTTTGATTAAGAGTGTCCAATCAAATGGGGAGCAGAAGAGGTCAAAAGGGAAGGAACTTGCAAACTTGAACAATCTCTCCAAAGTTGGTAACAGTCTTGAGATGAACAAAAGACTGTGAGAAACGAGAAGGAAATTTTGAAGAGTTCAAACAACAAGGTTGCTACCCTTGAGAACCTTACTCCTAATGAACAATCTCCGAAGGGTACTTCATTTCATCTTCCTTCAAAAATTGTGAAAGTCATTGATCATGATTCTTGCAATTCACATGAGAAGAAGATGAGCGAGCCTTTTGATGAGGAGGATGAGCAATCCACTAGCACGGACCAGCATTGGAAGCGTAAGAAGTCCAAGGTAATGACTTTTCCTTTGGATGATACTGGTTTAGATCCTAAAGAACTCTTTAAAGACATTCCGGATATATCTGTGCCTGGTATAAGCCGTGCCAATATTGTAAGGACCCCCCTTGCCTTCTTTAATTTAGCATTTGAAATTTACTTGTCAATTCCATATTCATGATTTGTCCCATAACGTTTTCCCTACAGTTGGATGATCAAGACTTGATCTTCATTGATGATGGAGAACCAAGCCAAGCATCAATTGAAGGACCTACTGCATTTGAACTTTTGGCCAACCAAGTGGTCAGTACTACTCAACAAATGGGTGCTAGTGAGAATTCCAAAAAGGCAGTAGAGGATGAAAATGTGATTCAGCAAATCACGCCACAAAAGGCGGAACATATGACTCCATCGGCCAAAAAGAAACTCAAAATTTTTGATCCACCATCGTGGCCGAGGGCACCTCAAGTGTCTGAAATTTGCACCCAAAGTGTGATCTCAACATGCCGTAGAGACTATATCCAGATGTTGTGGAATAACTTGAGGGTAATGATATCTCAAACAGCCTTGGAGCGCATACCTGCTCTTGAAATGAAAGCAAGCGAAATCACGGAGGAAATGCAAAGTTTCAATGCCACGGATATCTCAAATTTGCAAGGCCTTTTAAAGGCTTTCTTTGCAAATGCAGCTCGTTACGTCGCAGTGAAATCTTCTCTTGCAAATAAAATTTCAGTTGAATCATATAATGAGTTGCTTTCTACGGCCACCCAACATTTTAGAGATGCTCAGAGTAAGGAGAAACAACAAGCAGAAAAGATTTCAACGCACATGTTGAAACTTAAGGAGATTGATTGTGAGGAAGTAGAGTTGAGGAAGCGACTTGAGCTCTTGGATACTCACAAGAAGGAGACACTTTCACGGCTACGAGAAAAGCAAGATGAACTTACCCGAGTGCAAGGTGTGATGGTCGACTTACAAAATGAAGTTCGAAAGATTGAGAATTCCCCGCCCCTACTTGCTGAGGAGAGTCAAACTTTGGACAAGATGCAAGCATTACTTGAAAGCAACCGAAAGGAGCTGTCGTCATTTGAATTCTAGGAATAGTTGCAATCTTTTACTTTGTTTCAAATTTCATCTTTTGTTACCTTCTCAAAGCGTGTAGCTATGAGTACAAACATTTCATAATGAAACTTGATCTCTCTTTTTCACATTCTTGCAGACGTCCCCGTTTTTTTTCTTATTCTTTCAATAGCCACCATTCTAAGTTATTAACTGCAATACAAACAATTCCATCTTTGCATAATTTTGATCACACTTGAAAAGGTAATTATCCAAATAATTTAGTAATCAGAATAATACACTTTCAAGTATATGTCACAAAATAATTTGAACTATCTTAAAGATAACCGCTCTTTTTTTTTTTTGCAACAAAAGAATCATCCGGACAAAGGATTTAGTTTTATATGATTGTAACTGAACTTAGAAATTGCCCTCTAAGCTGCCTACGTATCCCAAAAGGGAATCAAGTCACACGTAGTTCCTACCATTCACAGTTTAAACTCTTGCGGGTCAGGAGTATCATTTTGTTTACCACCTTAGATTTGGTGGAGTGTTTCAGCAGTTTAACCACGTGCTACACTATTGGTGGTTGTTGTCCACAGTTTTAGCTCATGCGGGTTTGGAGCAACATGCAGTTTAGACTCATGCGTCATGGAGTATTTTATTTTTTTTCTATGGCATGTATAACTTCATGAATTTTCCATTTATAGGACAAACTTTTACGCCATTTTTGTCCACCAGTTTGTACGCGCCATTCGTGTAGACTTCTCGAACAACGTATGGCCAATCCCATTTAGAGATAAATTTGTCTTTAATGCGATGAGTCATAACTATTGGCCTTCGAACGGCGAGTACCATGTCCCCGACTTGAAAGGAGCGACGCCGAACTTTCTTATTAAAAGCTCTAGAGAGACGGGTTTGATAGCATTCCAGATTTTGTTGGGCCTCTAATATCTTTTCATCTAAAGCTTCCAATTCTTCCAGGCGCAGTCGAACATTTTCTTCCTCCGTGAGCCCTTCTTGGATAGCAATTCTCAAAGAAGGAATTTGTTGCTCAAGGGGCAGGACAGCTTCTAGACCATAGACTAAGGCATATGGTGTGGCCTGCGTTGGAGTTCAACATGTGGTGCGATAAGCCCAAAGAGTTTCGCCTATCCATTCGTGCCAATCCTTCTTTTATTTAGCCACCACTTTTTTCAACAAGTTACATAAAGTTTTGTTGAATGCCTCTGCAAGGCCATTGGCGGGGGCATTATACATGGAGGACTTGCGTTGCTTGAGATGGAATTTTTCACACAACTTATCCATCAAGCTATTTGAGAAGGATTTTCCATTATCAGTGATAATGTACTGGGGAACTCCATAATGGTAAATAATATTCACACGAATAAAATTTACCATATCTTCCTTTCTAACTTGCTTGAGCGGTATGGCTTCAGCCCATTTAGAAAAGTAGTCGGTCACAGCCAATATATATAAATGTTGACCGGACGACTTTGGTAATAGCCTCACGACATCAAGACCCCAAGTATCAAAAGGCCAAGAAGCAACGATCGGGTGTAACGGCTCAAGTGGTTGATGAATGTAATTTGCATGAAACTGGCAAGTTTGACATCTTTGAGCATATTCTATGCAATCTTTGACCATAGTAGGCCAATAGTAGCCCATCTTTTTAATCCGAAAATGTAACATGGGACCAGATTAATGAGCTCCACATATTCCAGAATGTGCCTCGTGCATCGCTCGATATGCCTCGTCTTCGCTCAGACAGCCCAACAGTACAATTTCAAATGATTTTCGGTACAACGTATCCTTGTATAAGATAAAACGAGGGGCACAACGACGGATGTCAGTTCTCCTATGTTGCTCCTCAGGTAATTTTTGATACTTGAGATAATCAACGAGGGGTTGTCTCCAATCTTCTTTGTCAATTTCATAGGTTGAGACCACATGAGTGTCGCCTCCTTCAATATTTTCATCATCAATTAGTGATGAAACTATTCACTTTTGGCATACACGAACTTGTATCTCATGATTCGGCATGGTAAGTGAAGAGGCTAGCGCAGCTAATGCATCAGCTTGCTTATGATTTTCGGTACAGCGTATCCTTGTACAAGATAAAATGAGGGGCACGACGACAGATGTCAGTTCTCCTACGTTGCTCCTCAGGTAATTTTTGATATTTGAGATAATCAACGAGGGGTTGTCTCCAATTTTTTTTGTCAATTTCATAGGTTGAGACCACATGAGCATCGCCTCCTTCAATATCTTCATCATCAATTAGTGATGGAACTATCCACTTTTGGCATACACGAACTTGTATCTCATGATTCGGCATGATAAATGAAGAGGCTAGCGCAGCTAATGCATCAGCTTACTTATTTTCCCTTCTAGGAACATGTTTAACACTTGCACCTCCAAGCCGCCTCATAAGTCGTGTTGCATATTTGTGATACGGAATTAACTCAGACTTTTTGACTTCATAACTTCCCAAGAGTTGGTTAACCATTAATTTAGAGTCACCATAGATTTGATGTCCAATTGTTCCATGTCAACAGCTATTTGAAGTCCGAGTATGAGAGCTTGGTACTCAGCGACATTGTTTGAACAATGTTGACTTAGAGTAAAAGAGTATAACAATATCCCTCCATCAGGAGTCACAAATATAATCCCCGCTCCAACCCCATGACGATGAGCCACACCATCAAAATACATCTTCCATGGTGGACGAATCTCAACAAGAAGTACATCCTCATCTGGTAGGTCATCACTTAACTCCCATTCAGCAGGTATTGGGTGATCAGCAAGAAAATCTGCCAGAACTTGTCATTTCACAGCCTTTTGAGGCACATAATTAATTTCAAACTGCTGTAGTTGAAGATACCATCTTGCTAGACGGTCGGATAGTACTGGTCTGCTCATCACATATTTTATGGGATTCGCCCTGGAAATGAGTCTCACGCTATGTGCTTGAAAGTAGTGTTTTAACTTCTGTATTGCAAAAATAAGGGCTAAACACAACTTTTCAATTGGCGAATAGTTTAGTTCGTTGGGGGTCATCATTCTGCTTAAATAATAAAGGGCAACTTCTTTTCCTTCATTATTTTCTTGAGCGAGCAATGCCCCCACCGACCGTTCTTGGGCAGCAATATAAAGGAGTAATGACTTTCCATGAATAGGTGCAGCCAACACAGGTGCTTTCATAAGATAAGACTTAATGCTATTGAATGCATTACTACATGACTCATCCCATTGAAATGGCACATCTTTCTTCATCAAGCGACTAAATGGTTGACACATTCCTGCTAAATTTGAGATAAATCTCCGTAGATAAGCTAATCGCCCTTGAAGACTTTTCAATTCATGAATGTCACGAGATTCAGGCATCCTCAATATAGCATCAATTTTGGCCTGATCAATTTCAATACCTCGATGACGAACCACAAAACCAAGAAATTTCCCCGACGTGACTCCAAATGCACACTTGAGAGGGTTCATTTTGAGTTGATACCTTCTCAACCGATCAAATACTTGTCTCAAGTCCTCCAAGTGATTACTTCTTTTTTTCGATTTAACAACTAAATCATCCACATAACACTCGATATTTTTATGAAGCATGTCGTCAAAGATAGTTTGCATTGATCTTTGATATGTGGCTCCAGCATTTTTGAGACCAAAGGGCATTACTTTATAACAATAAATACCCTTAGGAGTACGAAATGCAGTGAGCTCCTCATCCTCAGGAGCCAATCGAATTTGATTATATCCAGAAGAGCCATCCATAAACGACAGAACTTCATGCCCAGTAGTTGCATCAATCATGAGTTCAGTGATTGGTAAAGGAAAGTCATCTTTAGGACAAGCATTGTTAAGATCCCTGAAATCGACACAGATGCGAGTTTGCCCATTCTTCTTTCGCACGGGCACGATACTCGAAATCCATGTGGGATATTTAACTTCACGAATAAACCCGACTTCAATAAGTTTATTGACTTCAATTTCGATCAACGGAATCAAATCGGTTCTAAATCGCCGTTGTGCTTGCTTCACTGGTCGAACTCCCTTTTTAACAGCCAAATGGTGGACGGCCACTTTTGGATCTAAACCCGGCATTTCTTTATAAGTCCATGCAAAAATATCTTGATACTCCCGCAATAGTTCAATATATGCCTTCTCTTCGTCAGGACTCAATGAAGCACTTACATATATTGGACGTGGGTCCTCTGAAGTACCAAGATTGATCTCCTTTAGATCATCTACAGTGGCCTTAACACCTTCCTCCAATTCAGGCGGAGCGTCTTCAGCATCTTCTTCTTCTTCAGGCGAGTCACCGTCAATTATGGTTATATGATTGCATGAAACAACACTCTCTTCATCATCCTCTTTTGGTCTTGTGTACACCACAGTATGTTCCCTGACCCTTAATTCAGTCCCACACTTTATTACAATGTCTGTGCATCTTCTCATTTTCGAAAGAATGATGCTACCAAATTTATGAGGATAATTAGAGAGTTCTTCAAGATTTTGCAATGACTTTGCCATTTTTCCTTTACTCTTATGAGAGTTTTGAGGCTTTTGTCTTCTTTGTGGTTCTAATCTCTTAAAAACAGATATCCGTGGAGTTTTATTCTCTTTTTCGTGAAAAGCTTGAAATTTACCAACTATTTGAGAAGACTCATCCTCCACAGCAATATATTGGCTACTAACTCTATTGATCTTGATGCGAATTGGTGTAGGAGAGGAGTAGCCAAGGCCAAATTTGGGATTTTCAACGGCGTATCCCTTTTCCTTCAACATCTTTTGGGTAGAATTCAACCCATGAATCATGTCACTAGTAGATTGACGAGATGGAACATTTAACACCGCAGATTCTTTGAAATCGTATCCAGCCTTAGCGAGAAGCTTATAAGCGATAGGATCAAAACCTTCAACGGTTCTTGACTTTGGTAGGGTGTCTTGTTCAACTTCAGATTCTTTGCTTAAAAGGTTAGACTTTTTAAGTTGAGAAGATGACGCCCTTTTTGTATCAAGATGAGCTACCGGAAGAGTCAAATCTTTTAGAGTTTCATGCTGAATTGTAGGTGACTGTCCCTGTTCCATTCTTGATTTGGGAGGGCAACGAAAGACAACTGATTCATTGTTTGACAATGAAACATTAGTTTCTTTATGAACTTCCTCTTTTGATTTCGAAATCATCACTTTCTCCCCTTTTACATTTGGAGATTCGGGGTTCTGGATTTTATCCCCAGATAGAGGTTGCTCAGATTTATCCTTCGCAATGTATTTCTTGACGTAAAATTTGGCATCAGCGATATACGCTTCCGTCTCAGTGAAAGGATTGTCATCGACTTTCACACTTCTTGTCACTCCATTTTGGCAGTATTTGAAATATTGATGAAGGGTTGAAGGTACAACTCCATTTTCATGAATCCAGGGCCTTCCCAACAGTACATTGTATGTTGTTTTAGCATCTATCACATACAACAGTGCTCTGGACGTCATGTCATCAATGACTATCTCCAAATTTAGTGATCCAAGAGCTCTTTGCCCTCCTTGATTGAAGCCTTGAATCATCAGTAGCCTTTTGGAGAGTTCATCAACCGGGATACCAAACTCCTTCAGAGTTTTTAAAGGGAGAATATTGACTGCGGAACCTCCATCTATCAACATTCTATTCACTTTTTGCTCTTTTACATAACCAGTCACAAATAAAGGACGGTTATGCGGTGTTGACCCAAGCAACAAGTCTTCACTAGTAAAAGTGATATTTGTGACGTTCACCTCTTCATTGCTGGTAGGCACACGACCTTCTTCATTGCCGGTGGACGCACGGTCTATCTCACAGAAAGATTCGCGAGTATTATCTTTTTGTTCCTCGATATGATCTACTCGCGTTGTGTAACTTGCGACCACATCAACATCAAAGAATTCTTTTGGCAAAAATTCTTTTAAAGTGATAGGAGTTCGTGACTTTTGCTTGAAGATTCGACCTCCTTGAAAATTACGACAGTCATTAGTTTTCTTTACGTCCTTCTCTTTTTCCTTCCAGATCACCATACTTCTTGTTAAGACCTTGCTCGTCTTACTAGATGGACAAGACTTTCGCCTCCTTCTTCGCGTGACTAGAGTCTACCCTTCATCATCCACATCAGGCTGTAGCGTCTTTTCATCTTCATATACATGTTCCCGAAGAGTTGAAGGAGCACCTTCTTGTTTGATTTCTATAGGGTCAAGTGATCCAAATTGAATTGTCGGCAATACAGGTACCATGACCCTTTTATCCTCCATGGACTGCAGGGAACCAATGGACGTTTGATTCACACTCGCCTTGTCTTCTTCAAGGAGAATTTTCCCTTGTCTTGCCAACTCCATTACTTTGTCTTTGAAGACAAAGCATTTTTGAATGGGATGCCCAACCAATCGGTGATACTTACAGTAGTTTGGATCGTCAGTGTTCCTGGCCTCATCAGGTCGCTTCATCTCAGGAAGCGTGATCAAGTTTATATTTAACAGATCGTCAAACATACCAGGGGCATCAGAATCAAGAAAAGGGTACTCTTTGTCTTGCATCTCCTTGAGAGTCGGTTTCCTCTTTTCTTGCTCTTGATGTGCATTGCTCTTCCTGTCTTCTCCCCTAGCAGTTTTGGGAACAACCTTAAAAGGTGTTATACTTGTGGCCATAGCCTCCTTCCTTTCATTTTTGATTGGTGGCTTGCCCCCTTTCCTCGCTTCTTGTCTCTCCTTAGCCTTGTGAGGGTCAGGAACTGACGGTTCTTGTCCATCAAGATTAATTTTCAACTTATGAGCTTTTGTGGACAATTCATCAAACGTTTCTGGCTGTACACCTTGTAAGATGTATTTGACTCCCCAGTGCATACCTTGAATACACATCTCGATCGCGAAAAATTCAGAAATTCGATCTTTGCAATTTAAGCTCAGATTCCTCCAACGGTCGACAAAATCAATGACAGGATCACTCTTTCATTGACGTGTATTAGAGAGTTCAGTCATGCTGACAGTTCTCTTTGTGCTATATAAGCGACTAAGAAATTCATGCTCTAACTGCTCCCAACTGTCAATGGTTCCAGACTCCAGATCTGTATACCAATCAAAGGCATTACCCTTCAAAGAGCGAACAAATTGCTTAACGAGCAAGTCACCATCAGTGCCCGCATTGTTGCAGGTTTCCACAAAGTGTGCAATATGTTGCTTAGGGTTACCCTTGCCATCAAATTGTTGAAATTTTGGAGGTTGATATCCCACAGTCATCTTCAAACCTTCCACTCTAGCAGTGTAAGGTTTAGTGTAACCGCTATATGACTTGGCGCTTCCACCCATCTTATCCTTGATTGTACCTTCGATAAATTTCTTCAGATTGTCAACATGAATGGTGCCATCAGGGGAGATTGAAAATTCCTTCGCGGCTTGTGACTTCGCATCCTCTTTCTCCTTCTCCCTTGATGACGAGTCTCCTTCATCTTGCACTTTGAATTTCTGTTTGGACATACTAAGGCTATTTTCGCCTATATTTTCCACCATATCCATTAATTTGACTATCTTGGCATCCTGACTTTGCGCATGCACTACTAGCCCTTTAACAATTTTGGCTAGATTCGAGATCTGATCTTCCACAGTTGTGGTATTGGTCATCATGACGGGCATCACCACAGAGGCAGCCGAATCACTTGGGTTATCAATGGATTCATCATGGGCTCCTTTCTTGTTAGGAAGCATCTCAAGATTTACTTCTTCAGTCACAACGTTCGTCTTAGCCTTCTCTGCTAATTTCTTGGCCTTACTCCTTGTCAGAGGTGCAGTATACTGCGTCCCTTGAGTGGTTGAGACATCAACAACTAAGCCTTCAAGAGAAAAGTTCACCTTCTTGAACTCCATCAAATTTTGAAACTGGTAAGTTGTTGGAAGAAAAGAGATGAGAGGCAGAGATTGTCCCACTGGGCGTGTCAGAAATTTGTAAACACAAATTTTGTTGCCTAAAATGAAAGACAAGAAAACTTGCACAAATATCAAATTTATTAAATCAAATAATAAGCGGGTTACAATCTCTGAAAATTCTTGAATCAAAGAAATTAATCCCTTGATTCTTTTCTTCAAATAGCTTCAATTGAAGGGCCAAAAAGACTTGTTCTCCAATCGAAAGGGTGTTTCCTACAATTTCGGCGTAGAAAACGATTGATTTGATGATGGCGTCAAACACTTGGAACTTCAAGTCTTCAACACCGATAGCAGGAGGATTTGTTTGACTTGATTTGGACTTGGATTTGAGGAAGAAAGCTCTTGAGGGAATTTGACAGAGTTTCTCCGAATGCTAGGGATTTTTCTATCTCTTTGCCTTGAGTGAAGACCTTTATTTATAGCCAAAATATGTAGGCTAGGTCTTCAAGAAAGATCCTTAGAACCTCCCTGTATTTTGGATCACTTGTCCCTCAAGAAATCCATTTAAGTTGGACTTAAATAATGGGCCCATCTAAATAGTCCACTGTGAACTAATAAATTAATTAATTCACTCCAATTCAAATGGACTTTATAGATTTGATTTGATTTAATAGCCCATATAATATTAGCCCAACTTGACGGTCCAAAACATAATGGACTTCTATAATTTAACTTAATTTAGTCAAGATCGATTTAATAAATCTCGACTAAATAAGTTAAATAAAATTTCTTTGTCTACACACAGTATATGGTACACAAATATTAAAACAATGAAACAAAAACATCACATACACAACTCTTGACATACTTCACAGCCACACATGGAGAGAGTGGAAATGCTACAATTAACTGTATCAAGCACTGATACACCATGAAAACTTAAGGGAAATGAAAAACAGATCTTGTACTAAACTTATATAGCATTCCAACATATTGAGCCTTATACTTGTCAACTGACTTTCAATTATGCATCAATTGCTCCTTCCGAATTGCATATTCATGATTTGTGGCATTAATAGTTTCTTTATCAAAGAAATAAGACTAGAATATGGAACGTAATTAATATCATAATTATCAGCCTATTACATGCCAGACATACCTTGGAAATGTTAATTGGTTGACTAGCTCCTGATGACATCCTGGACAAATGCAAAAAGTAGCCACATACATCAATGTGAGTGCAGATAGAATGGGCCAAATGAACACTAACTTCAAAATGCCTAAATTAAAAAATTCCAAGGAAAAATATCTTAACATTTGAAAGCAATGATAATCATTGTGTCTCAGTCAATTTGCAAGTTTTCTGCATGCTAGAATCATTATGATCTCGTCCATTGTTACTATAAGGTGAAAACTTCCTTGGAACAGATACTTTTGTAAGTTTTAATGCGGATATATCCCAAGAAACCTAATTGCAGGTTCCATCAACCAGTAATAGCTTATAATGTAATGGTTGGTATCTTTGCTGGGAAAAAAGGGGGGGAAAAAAGAAAAAGAAGCAGAAAAAAAAATCTAAGAGTACAATGACAGAAGTTAAAAGAACATTGTCCAATAAATTCTTCCAAGAAATATCGAGGATGCACAGCATGCAAATTAAAATCAAGTAGCTCAAAATTTGGGCTTTGAACCATACCAAAATCACAATAGCTTTCACATTAACAACAAAGAATTACTAAAAACTAGACTACATAAAAGACCATTGCTAAAAATTCTACCAAATTTTAATTCATATACGGAAATCAGAACACAATTAAAACCCCTAATTTCTTACAAACAAACAAAAACCGGCAGAAGTAAATAAAATAGAATACACCCCACAAATATTTTAATTAACAATTTATACTAATCGTATCCAAGAGAACATAATTCAGTTAGCAAATTTTAACAAATAGAAACAGAAAAAAGGTTACTGAGATCGAATCAATCTAGGGGTGGCCTTAAATCGTGCAAAACAGAAGGAAGAAACTGAGATAAAAGTAATAGGAGCACTAACAGCATGAATTTCGCTTGTGAGAGATAAGAAACAGAGATGGAAACCTGAAAATCTCAGTAGCCGCGGCAGCGGAAGGAGTGTGATTGGCAGTCGGAGGTCGGTAGGAGTCTCAGGCAGCCGAGCGTTGAGTGACTGGTCGGTCGGAGCAGAAAATTTTGAGAGTTAAGAGTGACTGTTCGAGCCCCTTGTCCTCCTCCGTAGGTCGGTAATTGGCAAAATGGGTTGCCGATTGATTGGGCGGGTTAACGGGTTAGGCTGGCGGGTTATTCGCAGGAATAGTGCCGTAATCTTTATAAATGTATATTTTTGCCCTCCAACTCAAGGGCTTTTGTACTTCCGCATCAATGAAAAGATATTTCTTTGTTGTGATTATTTCTCTTGATTGTGTGTGATTCTAACTTGAATGGATACAAGAAAACAGTACTTTTTCTTGTTTAATGTGCAATTACTTTTCTTTTTATTAAGTATTTTAAACGCTCAAAAAGTATGGCTTAAGAAAATTTAGGTAAAGAAATAGGAATATAAGGGTGAAAATCAAATCGAAATTGTTGACATGAAAAACTATACAAAATATGATGTAAGTTGAAATGTGTGACTATAATTTAAAGATGTTGTAGAACCATTGTAAGCATTCAAGAAAATATTTTGATACCTGCAAATAATGGCTTTAAACATAACAAGTATGTAGGACTTAATAATCGATATATAATTTGTAAATAGCTCAAACACATGCAATTTGGCTACATTAATTTATGTAAGCTTAAACAAGAGCACTAATAAAACTTTTCCATCAGAAAGAAAAATATTCCAAACTACACAATAGATTAATTCCAAACTACTTTTAGCATCTGGGTTTTTTGAATATGATCTACCCATCTGTAAAGAATGTAGACTGGAAATTGCAATCTTGTCAGTCAATAGTTCTTGAATGCCTTAATATGGATCGGATGGATAGATTTGAAATATCCGTTTAGAGATTGATTTCATCTAATAATAATTGGTCAGTATAGATAATATTTTACAGTTTGATAAATCTACCTTGTTTTGTAAGGCTTGCTCTTTCATAACAGTAGAACATGAATAAAGAGAACAAAATTTAAGCTCCCAGGTT